CCGTCCGCGCACTGCGCGTTCACGTTGCAGGGCGTGGCCGTGACCTCTGCGGGGGAAGCCGGCTCCTTCCTGACCCCAGGCCCACCCGCCAGCCTCGTGGCCACCCTCTGAGCGGGCCCAGGACCTGGGGCAGGGTCTGGACCGTGCAGGGGGCCCACGGGGCTGTCCGGGGCCCCTGGGCACCTACCGAACTCACAGAGGAGCCCGAAGAAGCCCGGGGGGCACTGGCAGACAGTGGCGTTGGCCTCAGCGCACCTCCCGCCATTGCGGCACTCGCAGCCCTCAGGGCTCCCTGCCACGGCAGGGGGCGCTCAGCGGGGGCCCAGACAACCAGCCCCCCGCGCCCCCGCCACCCCACACACTCTGCCTGCAGTGGTCACCGGTGAAGCCTCCCGGACACTCGCACGCGTAGCCTTGCTGCCCGCCCACACAGGCGCCCCCGTTCTGGCAGGGGGCGGAGAGGCAGGCGTCGGGCTCCGGGGTGCTCTCTGCAGAGAGGCAGCAGTGCCTCGGTCGGCGGAAGACTCCCCGCTGTCCCCGGCCGCCCAGGGCCGTGGGGGTGACCCCAGGCCCTGCTCTGGACTGGCCGCGGAACTGGGACCAGGGCGTGAGAAGGGCGGGGGCGGGCACGCGCCTGGGTGTGCAGGGGCCTCCCTCCACAGCGAGGCTGTGGGCGTGGGGTCCACCCTCCTGTCCGCGCGGAGGGGCCGAGGTGCCCCGCAGCCCCACCCGGTGGGGAGCACGGGGTCTCGAGAAGGGCCCTACGCACCCTGAGTCCAGGCAGTAAGGCCCCTGGGGCTGGGGGGAGACAGCTTGCACTCCCGCAGGCAGCAGCTGGGCTTTGGGGTTCAGCGGCATGCACCGCGGGGGCGGGGGGGGGGCTTCGTGCTTCCCCTCCTCCCTCAGCCCACAGCCAACCCCAAAAGCCCCACATGTTCATCCAGGCCTGGGCGGGTCTGGGCACCCACCACCCCGCAGGGTCCCAGTCCCCCGGCCGAGCCTGGGTGTGGTCAGGGCTCCAGCCAGCCCCGGGGGCGGGGCCTCCGTCTGGATCGGCTGCTGACCCGCCCCCCCCCGCCGCCGGCCGCCCCCTCTGGACCCCCCCGCCCGAGGAAGGGGGGGCCCTGTGCCGCCGGGCCCACACCTGCGCCTGGGGCGGTGGGTGGCCGCTTACCTGCCTCGCAGGTGGGCCCGCTGAAGCCAGCCGGGCACTGGCAGCTGAAGCTGTGGTTGCCGGGGCTACACGTCCCCCCGTTCAAACAGGGCTGGGAGGCGCACTGGTCCACATCTGGGGGGGCGCGGGGCTCAGCGCAGGGCCAGCCCGGGGGCCTGGGGTGGGGGGCAGCAGCCCGGCCTGCACACTGTCCCCACGCCCGCGAGGGGCGGACAGGAGGCGGGGCCTGCCCGAAGCGCTGCCAGGGACTGCGGGGGACGTGGCCTCGCCCCAGCTCGCAGGTCATGGATGGGGGCGGCCTTGTCCCCTGGAAGCCAAGAGCTGCCGTGGACTCCAGGCCAGGCAGCCCAGGACAGAGCCAGAGCCGGCTCCGCGGGGGCATCTGGAGCACGCCACACAC